AAGAATAATGAAAATAAGCTAAACTAAAATTAAATTACTAAATACTAAAATGTTGGAAAATAAAAATATAGTTGGGTTGCCTCCCACAAGCGCTTGTTTTACGTCACGAGCCTGACGTACCTCTTTTACGTTCATGGTGGCTCAAAGCATGGGCTTGGTGATGACCAAGCTCCATCATTCAGAAATGGTGTTCTCCCATAGTACTCTTGTGCATATGAGTGAGATGCACTCTTGCTCCTGAGCTTCTCCATTTTAACCTTTGGCTTACTTTCTTGAGAAGAATTCTCTTTGTGCTCTTCTTCTCCTTTGTTTTCACTAATATAGTAGACTTGATCTTGCGGTTGAATTATAGGTGAAGGGACTTCTTTATCAAAGAACTTGAAAATTGCTTGCTCCCCGTCTACCCGTAAGATCAACTCGCTTTTCGGTACATCAATCAGCGCTCCTGAGGTTGCCAAGAAAGGTCTTCCGAAGATCATAGGAATAGTAGAATTTTCCTCTATATCAAGGATGAAAAAATCAACAGGAATAATGAATTTGTCAACCTTTACCAATATGTCCTCAATAATGCCATAAGTTTGCTTTGTAGAGCGGTCAGCCAGTTGAACTATTGTCTTGGTTGGCCTTACTCCAGTGATCCCCAGTTTCTTCATCATAAATAGTGGCATCACATTGATGCTGGCACCGAGATCACATAGAACATTTTTCACTTCCATATTGCCTATGTTGCATGGAATGCTGAATCTTCCTCGATCTTTAAGCTTTGGAGGCAACTTTTTCTGGATAATGGCACTGCATTCCTCTGTCAGCGTCACCGTCTCACATTCTTGTAGCTTACGCTTTCGTGATAGAAGATCTTTCATGAACTTTGCGTAATTGGGCATAATCTCCAAGGCTTCAGTAAACAGGATATTGATTTGCAGCTTCTTGAAAATGTCAAGGAACTTGGAATACTGCTGCTTTTTGATTTCCTCTCTGAACCTCTGCGGATATGGAATCTTTGCATAAGGTGAGAGCTCCAATGGCTTTTCTTGCCTTTCTTGAGCTTTCTTTTTCTCCCATTTGAACTCTTTCTTTTCAGGAACAGTTTTCTCTGCAGCAAATTCTTTGGCAACTTCCTTTTCTTTTTCCTTTTCAGTTGCAAGTTCATCATCTTTCTTTTTCTCAACTGAAGGCTTTACCACATGTTCAATGGCTTTCTCACTCATAGTAGTAATCGCATTGCAGTGTTCCCTACTTGGATTTGGAATAGTGTTACCTGGAAAAGTTCCTTGAACTCTTTCAGTGAACTGCTTTGATAGCTGGCCAATCTGAGTTTCAAGATTCCGGATAGAAGCTTCTTGATTCCGGAATGAGGCCCTTGTCTCTTGCATAAAGGCTGAAGTGTCTTCTCTGAAATTATTGGAACTTTGAATGTAGTCTGATGTGGTCTTGGATAGTTGTGCAAAGGCCTTTTCCCATTCTGATTGTTGAGGAGGTTGTTGTTGCACTGGCATATGAGGATTCAGCTGATGGTTTGAACTGTAACTAAATCCCGGGTGTTGATTTTGATTTTTATTTCTCCACCCTTGATTTTGATTATTGCCGTATTGGTTCCTCCCTGGATTATATGGAGCTTTTTGATCATGCCAAATTCCATTAACATCTGCAGTTTCGGGTGCCTTGCAGTCATCAGTGGCATGAGCACCTGCACAAATATCACAAACAAAAGAAGAAGTATTAACAGAAGCTACTGGAGTATTAACAGAAGAAACTTGAAAATCAGAAAATTGCTTCGTGAGAGCATCTAGTTGTTGTTGCTGTTTCTTATTAAATTGTAGAATCTGATCATTCTGGGCCAGGATAGCATCATAGCCATCAAGCTTCATAATCCCCGCTCTTCTCTGTGGTACGGGAGCATTGTCATACTCCTGAGAGGCTAGAGACTCTAGTAATTCCAAGGCTTCCTCTGGAGTTTTTGTTTTCAAGGACCCTCCTGATGCAGCATTCACCAATGTTCTTGTGTTCGGCGTCATCCCTTGGAAGAAGGTTCTCGCTTGCTCCCAAGCTTCAATGCCATGTTGGGGACACTTCCTAAGTAGTCCCTTGAATCTTTCCCATGCTTCATATAGAGATTCACTTTCTTTTTGTTCAAAAGAAGTGATATCCGCCTTGAGCTTTGCCATTTTCGAAGATGAGAAAAATTTGTCCAAAAATTTAGTTGCCAAGTCGTCCCAGTGAGTGATGCTTCCTTGAGGTAACGATTGCAACCATCCTCTTGCTTCGTCTTTAAGTGAACATGGGAACAATCTGAGCAAAATAGCATCCCGAGACACCCCATTCATCTTCAAGGTATCACAATATAGCAAGAATTTTTCCAGATGGATGTAAGGGTCTTCCGTGCTTCCTCCGGCAAATTGGTCTTTCTGGATTAATTGTAAAAGTGCCGGCTTGAGTTCGAAGTTGTTAGCATCCACGTTTGGTCTAACAATACTCGCCGTCTGTGGAACTCGAGCAGGAGTCATGTAATCTCCCAACGTTCTCGGAGGTGGTGGAGGTGCATTGTTGTCTCCCAGTGCTTCTTCTCTTGGTTCTGTTGAGCTTAAAGCTTCTTTCTTTTGCTGTCTTCTTTCTTTAGCAAGTTTTCTGTTTCTTTTTGCTGTTTTCTCTATCTCCGGGTCGAATTGCAAGGAATCGGTGTCAACAGTACCTCACATAAACAAGAAAAATAGATTATATAAAATAAGAAAATAAAACTGAATTTAAATAACAGAAAATTAAATAACAGAAAATAAGGTCCAATCTAAAGAATTAATAGCTACTATTAATGTTGAAATAGTAATCCCCGGCAACGGCGCCAAAAACTTGTTGCTACTCACGGCAAGTGCACCGATCGTACAAGTAATATATGATTAAGTAAGAGATCGTTCCCACGAGGATTACGGTTCAAGCACTAATTCACTATCGCAAACTTAGTTGGACAATCGAAAGTGTATTTGGAAACAGGATTTGAATTGTAAAATTAAAATATTAATTATTAAAGCTAATTACTTGCAAGAATTAAAGACAAGAAATTAAAGATGTGATTAACTAATATAATAAAAACGTAGCTAGGGGTTCGATTTCCTTTAATCTCCTTATTACGTTTGAATTCCTTCTTAATGTTAATTGTCCTTAGTATCAATCTAATCAATTCTTTCGCATGTTATTAGAGCTCAATCCCTTGTTACTCTAAAATCTTTACAAAATTGGAAGAACCCTAGTTCCCCGGTTATTCCCCAAGCATGCAAGCATTAAATTCAAGAATCTTAAAGATTACGCAAACCCTATGTCTATCCCTAGAATCATAACGTTTACGATGAAGTTATCAGATATGGATCACACACCAACATTCCTATTGTCATGCATTCACCGATGATCATTACATAAGATTCAAGCCTATATAAAGCATTAAAAACAGATAACTTCATTCATGATATAAAGGAAAATTAACACAGCGAATTGTTCAAAACATAATAAATCGACTAAAATCCATCTAACCCTAACTACTTAAAGAACTAGCCGGACATAGTAAAATCAAGAACAAAAGAAAATAGAAAAGCTCCCCCAAACTCCATAGGTGATTGGTGGATCTTCAATATCTCCAGTGAACACTTGACGTTGATCCGTCTCCGCCGCTCACGAACATGAATCTGATGTTTCTCCGCGTTCCTTCAGCCTCCAAGCACCCAAGAGTTGTTTAGTAATGTAAAAGTTATGTATTTCTGGTCCCCAATGGTGTTTAAATAGGTCAAGAGTTCGTATTGCAGTAGAAAACTTGAATGGGCCTAAGTTGGACTTGTCTGGGCGCTTAAGCTTGTGAATGGGGGCTTAAGCTCCCACTTCTAACAACTTGATAAGATCTTCAATCGTATTGTTTTCACCTTGATTCATCTTCTTTTCTGATTTGATCTCTCTTTATCTAAATCTTCGTATTTGAATCATTTGTTATCAAATCCCTTTAAAAATAACAAATATATTAATTAGTTCCAACAATCAGATAATATTCATGATTATCATTTTAAAACCCTAATTTTTGACTTGTTCAACTAGATAATTCATATTATTTTAGTCCATTAAACAAGATAAACTAAAGGTTTATCAAGTGGTAAAATAAAACGCATGAAACATAATTAGATTTGATCAAGAACCCTCGTATAGCAGAATGTCTTGGAACAAAGAAGTCCCACATCTGATAGTAATCAAACTAGTGTTGCTAATGTTGTTAAGATTATGCCACGTGGACTGGCAAAACAGAATTAGGTTCTTGTTAGACTTTCCCGCGCTTTTATCTTACTTCTTTCTGATGTAAAACAGCACTTGTATAAATACTTGGAAGAGAAATGAAAACAGCAGATTGGTTTTTTTCCCAAAATGAATGTTAGTTTCATCAAGTTTGAGATGGTATCAGAGCCTTAAATTGGGGCTCTGGTATCGCAGTGAGAGAAACGCGTGATTTTTCGTTTTGTTGTCTTCTATAATGGCAGAAGGTGAATCCACCGGTGCCTCCACATCATGTGGTGTTTCCGGCGGTGCCTGATTTCTATACAAATCCTTCTCATCCGTTTTTTTTACATCCAAACGAATCACCATCCACAATCTTAGTTCCTCAGTTACTCAATGGAAACAATTATCATACGTGGTCTAGAGCCATGACAGTTGCGCTCATTTCGAAGAACAAGATAAGCTTTATTGATGGTAGCATGGATCCACCATTGGAAGATGATCCTTCTTATTTCGCTTAGCAGAGGTGTAATAATATGATAAATGCATGGCTTCACCGTTCAATTTCACAATCAATTGTCCAATCGATCATATGGATCGAAAAAGCTCGAGATGTCTGGGTTGATTTATGTAACAGATTCTCTCGTTCTGACATATTTCGGATTTCTGATCTTCAAGAGGAGATCTATCGTTTGAAGCAAGGAGATAAAAATGTCACAGAGTATTTTACTGAACTTAAAACTCTGTTTGATACATTAGATAATTTGAAGCCATTACCAATTTGTAGTTGCTCGACCAAGTGTTCATGTGGTGGATATTTGAAAATGAAGGATTATCGTGATCGAGATTATATCATAAGGTTCCTCAAGGGATTAAATGAGCAATATTCACAAGTCAGATCCCAAATAATGTTGCTTAAGCCTCTTCTTGATGTTTCTCAGGCTTTTTCCATGGTAACTCAACAGGAACGACAATTTCAAGGTGAAGGTCGTGCAGGTAACAACCAATCTTTTGCTGGCTTTTCTGATAATGCTTCTTTTCGAAGAAATCATGGTGCTAGAGGTTTTAGAGGAAGAGGCAGAGTTTCTCTCAACAATTATGGTGGAGGTCGTACTCAACTTACAAAGATTTGTACTCATTGTGGTAGATTTAATCACACTGTTGAAACTTGCTTTCACCTTCATGGTTTTCCACAAGCATATAAACCACGAAATCCTGCACCTCATGCTACCAATATTGTAGCACAAAACACATCTGATTTTTTACTAGCAAATCAGATTCAGCTTCAAGTGTCACTCTTTCTAGTGATCAATATCAGCACATTCTGAGCCTACTCCAGAAGAATAATGTTACTTCCGCTTCTGCTCCTTCTACCAATCATGCCACAAATTTTACACAAGTATCCAATTTTAATACTGCATTGATGGATCAGCCAGGTAACATAGATTCGTATTGGCTTTTAGACAGTGGTGCCACAGATCATGTGACATATTTGAGATCCCAATTTACACAATTGAGAAAGATCCAACCTATCTCTATTAACTTGCCTAATGGAGTCACAGTTCTTGCAGAATTTTCTGGAACTGTTCATGTTTCTCCTACTCTTGTTTTATTTGATGTTCTTTTTGTTCCCTAATTTAAGGTTAACCTCATTTCTGTTGCCAAACTGTTAACTCATGTCCCTTGTTCTCTAATTTTTTGTGCTTCTCATTGCCTTATACAGCACATCCATACCCACATGAAGATTGGTATTGCTGAGCAACGAAATGGGCTATATGTGATCATGGGAAAGAATATCAAGGAAGCTTGTCATATGCAGAGATATAGTAGCAATAAAGACACTCAAATTTGTAATATGCAGAAACATGATTCTGTTGTTTGGCATAGAAGACTTGGTCATATACCACATACTGTAATGAGACAGATGTCTCTTAGATTTCCTTTTATTTCGGGTGACTGTTTGCACCCTTGTGATACTTGTCACTTGGCAAAACAGAAACAATTGTCATTTCCTATTTCTGTATCGAATTCAATACATAGTTTTCAGTTGATTCATGTTGACATTTGGGGCCCTTTTGCTATTGCTTCCCTTGAAGATAGGTATTTTTTGACCATAGTTTATGATTATTCAAAATTTACTTGGGTGATGTTAATGAAGGCTAAATCTGAAGCTAGTTCTCATATAAAGAATTTCGTGGCTTTTATTGAGACTCAGTTTCACACTACCATTACTGTTATTCGAAGTGACAATGGAAAGGAATTTCTCATGGCTGATTTTTATTCACAAAAGGGAATTGTTCATCAATGCAGTTGTGTGGAATGTCCCTAACAAAATGGTATGGTGGAGAGGAAACATCAACACATCCTCAATGTGGCTAGAGCCCTCCTTTTTCAATCTAATTTGCCAATTTCCCTTTGGAGTTATGTTATCACACATGCTATTCATTTAATCAATCGAACTTCCACTCCCATTTTAGCCCACAAAACACCTTATGAGGTTCTCCACAATCAACCTCCAATTCTTCTTCATTTGAAAGTGTTTGGTTGTCTTGCTTTTGCTTCCACCCTTCATGCCCATCGATCAAAATTCTCTCCTAGGGCTCGCAAATCTGTTTATTTAGGTCATAAGGCTGGTGTTAAAGGTTCTGTCTTATATGACCTTTTGTCCAGAGAGATATTTTTATCAAGAAATGTTTTTTTTTATGAAGATCACTTCCCATTTCTTGATACCACATATAAGCCAGAACCTATTGCTCCTTCTGATACTGCAGTT